TGTAATTCATTTTGCAAATAATAAAATAATGCAAATTTTCAATAACTAAGAAACGTTGATATAATGTTAAATATTCAAATTAAACCTAATACTATAGTTAATTAAACAAGGCTTCAAATTTTGATAAAACTGTGTTAAGTAAATGTTAAGTTTCAGTGATAATTTAAATTAATCTAATAATAATCAAGTAAGCATATATTAATTGCAATTATTGTTTTAGTACAAAATTCGTTGCCAAAATTAAAATTAAAAAAAATAACTAGAATTCAATAATCAGGTTTAAACGAAATGTTTTCTTATCAGTTTGTTTTCTTTTAATTATACCACGATAACTGTTTTTTGTTTTGACTAAAGATTGTGGGGTTGGGGAGGTGAAAGGTTACGAACAGAAACAAATGAAACAAACGCCAGTTCTGTAGAGGCGCCACCTGTGTTACCGAAATATGCACACAACATAACAAAACAAAAAACAAAACAATTGAAAATGCGACCTTGAAACATCAAAAGTTGTTGTAACTTATCCAATACATATGATTTAGATAATAAAACAAACGTTAACGAATTAATGAATGAATTGATAAAATAATGAAAGATTCTGTTTTTGTTTTGTTCTTGAAACAAATGAAAAAAAAACAAAAAACGATTTACAGGCGGATATATCCGCCCTGTTGCTTTACACATAAGTCTTCGCTTATGCAATCATTGAATCTAGTGGCGCCACTAGTCTTTTTCAAGATGGTGCCCGTAAAAAACGTCAGTTCTGTAGAGACGCCACTTGCGTTACCGAAATAACAAACGTCAACTAATTATTGAATCAATAGATGAAATAATGAAATATTCTGTTTTTGTTTTGTTCTTGAAACAAATGAAAAAAAACAAAAAAAAAACGACATATGATTACTAATAATCCCTTTTCGCACAGGCGGATATATCCGCCCTATCGTTTTACATATAAGTCTTCGCTTATACAATCATTGAATCTAGTGGCGCCACTAGTCTTTTTCAAGATGGTGCCCGTGAAGACGTCAGTTCTGTAGAGGCGCTACTGGTGTTTCCGAAATATGCACACAACATAACAAAACAAAAAACAAAACAATTGAAAATGCGACCTTGAAACATCAAAAGTTGTTGTAACTTATCTAATACATATGATTTAGATAATAAACAAACGTTAACGAATTAATGAATGAATTGATAAAATAATAAAAGATTCTGTTTTTGTTTTGATCTTGAAACAAATGAAAAAAAAAAAACGATTTGCATATGATTACTAATTATCCCTTTTCACACAGGCGGATATATCCGCCCTAACGTTTTACACATAAGTCTTCGCTTATGCAATCATTGAATCTAGTGGCGCCACTAGTCTTTTTCAAGATGATGCCCGTAAAAAACGTCAGTTCTGTAGAGGCGCCACTTGCGTTACCGAAATAACAAACGTTAACTAATTATTGAATTAATTGATAAAATAATGAAAGATTCTGTTTTTGTTTTGTTCTTGAAACAAATTAAAAAAAAACAAAAAAAAAACGATTTACATATGATTACTGATTATCCCTTTTCGCACAGGCGGATATATCCGCCCTATCGTTTTACACATAACTCTTCGCTTATGCAATCATTGAATCTAGTGGCGCCACTAGTCTTTTTCAAGATGATGCCCGTAAAAGACGTCAGTTCTGTAGAGGCGCCACTTGTGTTACCGAAATAACAAAAGTTAACTAATTATTGAATCAATTGATGAAGTAATCAAAGATTCTGTTTTTGTTTTGTTTTTGAAACAAATGAAAAAAAACAAAAAACAATTTGCATATGATTACTAATTATCCCTTTTCGCATAGGCGGATATATCCGCACTATCGTTTTACAAATAAGTCTTCGCTTATGCAATCATTGAATCTAGTGGCGCCACTAGTCTTTTTCAAGATGGTGACCGTAAAAAACGTCAGTTCTGTAGAGGCGCCACTTGCGTTACCGAAATAACAAACGTTAACTAATTATTGAATCAATTGATGAAATAATGAAAGATTCTCGTTTAAGTACTTCAAATTTATTTAATATGTTTAATGGCACACAGGGGGCGCTCTTCAATTCATAAGATCTTAAAGACATATCGAACACAACAACAACAACAACAACAAAAAAGAAAAACAATAAACAAAAAACAATGAAGATCGCAAACAAGGGATGTCTTTAATTATAATATTCAATTTTTTTTTTTGTCCAATCCAAGCAGATCGTTTTCGATTATTATTATTATTATTATTATATTATTTTTTTTTTTAAATTCCATCATACACAAAATGTACACAACAAAACGTAACAATTACAAATAGATAGATAGAGATAGAGTAAAAATACATTCACATCGTAGTTAACTAAATTTATCTTTTTATATATATATTATTATTATTAATAATACACAATTTCATTTCATTTTTTTTTTGCTCGCTTCAATATAGAAATATCTTATTTTTTTTTTAGTGTCTGTGTGTGTATGTCTTCATGTTTTACACCGTAATATATTTATGCTGCATAATAATTAATAAGTACTCCTTCTTCAAATATTCATACACTATAATAGTATTCAATATATATATTTTTTAGCAATGCTGAAATCACCCTGACCGTAACGCAAAGAGAAGGTGGAACAACGAAGGTGTTTTTTTTTTAATAAAATTCCGCTAAAGTGAGTTTTTTTCTTCAATTTTCGTTAACGGTACATCTCCTAAACCACGTGGAAACGACGCATCTCCGCATCGCATCTTCTTAGGCCAAAAAACAAAATAAAAAAAACAAAAGAGAGAAACGATCAGATTTTGTTTGTTTTTTTTTTTGTTTCTATCCCCTACGAGGGGAAAAATTCATCTGTTTTCTTCTTCTTTTTAGAGGGAAAGAGCGTGGGAGGGAGGAGGAAAAGGAGACAACATTAATTACAACGACAATATGGAATAGTGTGTGTGTGTGCACAGCTCTTCGTAAATTACGCTTATCAATTAGACAATAATAACTTTGGAGAATCCATTAGATTTAAATTCGTAATATATAAGATTCCTCTTCATATTTTCTTTTTTTTGTTTTTGTTTAATATATATATATATAGATTTTAAAATTTATTATTATTATAATTATTATTATTACATTCATAATATTTATATATATATAGATTTGTTTCGCATCACGGCGGAAGTACATTTGAAAAAATAAAAAGAAAATCAACAAAGCAGGTTCATCTTTCACGAGGAAACAATTGAAAAAATAAACAAACAAACAAAACAACGGTGTGAACCACCTTCGATCCGATGCTTTCGCCAACTAACTAACAATAAAAAAAAATTCAATTAATTTAAGTTAAGTAATAGAAAGAGAGCTATAGTTAAGTATTAATAATCCATTCTTTAAATATATTTATATATATATAATCTTTGAAACAGTCATTATTCATTTTTTTCTTTTAAGTATTAAAAATCAAGAGGGTTAAAACCTATTTCTTGCGTGTTGACGACCTCTTGCTTGCTTGCAAAACTACCGCGCTCTATAAGAGCCAAATAATCTTCTGGCGTGGTGGCTTCGGGTAAAGAAAAGACTGCTATTTTGGGAAGAGAGGATCAGGGATGAAGTATAGAGTTAAAGAGGAAGGTTTGTCTTACGCAAACTACATAAACAGTTGTTGTTATTGTTTTTTTTTTCCCGCGATTATTTAAAAATTTTAATATCTAGAATGCCTCGCCGTCCGAGGAAAGGTACACAAAGTGCAAATACTAGAGGGCGCGCGTGTATTTTCTTCTTATTTTCTTGTGCGGTGGTTTTTTTTAAAAATGGATTTAAATTGGGATTAAAAAGAGGGAAGTCGTGTTTCCTTTCAATTTTCTATCTCTTAACGCAAAAGGGATGAAAATGTATGGGAAAACTCTTCCAGTTCGCACACGTCACCACAGATAGTAATAATAGATAGTAGTAGTAGTAATAGTAATTATGAATGTTACAATATTATGAATTCACACTAATAACAAAATAAAAATAATAACTCGCAGGTTTTCATTTCGCTTAATCATTAATTAGGTTATTATTTTTCCTTATTCTCGTAAATCTGCTGAGTGTGTGTTGTTTTCTTTTTCCTTTTTTTTTTTGG